CAATATCAATATCAGAGGTGATCACACTATCATTATGTTGCGGAATTAATCGTTTACGTGGATTTGAAAATTTTCTTTTGATGTAGGTCCAGAAAGATATTTCGATTGATATTTAAAATTTGCTCCTCTTTATTTGAAAAGTAATTATGAACGGCACCACGGAAACTTCTTAAACATTCTTTATATGTATGCAGAGGGGTTCACTTGGCAATTTGGTTAATTTGTATTTATTATAAAGCTTCTTGACACTTCTTTTAAGAGATTTTAAAAAAATGGGAATCGACTTAACGCCTTCTTTTCTTAGAAGGATAATATATATGATTCATTGCATATTTTGACAATGTTCTTCATATCCATTACTTTAGATTTTTCTTTCGCTCTCGTCAAGAATAGATATCGAGTTAGATAGCTGATTGATTATCTTTCTCATAGTTCATAATGACAGTAAACAATCTGATCTTTCTTTTAACAATTATCACTACCACAATTTATTTTCACTTTTTTTGATCCATAAAAAAAAATGATAATTCGAATTAGTGGTGGAGTAATAAGAAGAAAATTTGTGGAGTACAACAAAGAAAGAATATGTATGTATAAATGACCATACTTCATAATTTATAATTATTTGTCATTAATAGTCACTGCGGAGCAACTTCAGTAACCGATCCCCAGCAACTACGGTATCTTAATTAGCTGAAATAAGGGCAAAAAAATGGACTGCTTGCATCATACAAAATTTGTTTTATTCAGTATCTGAATCAAAACTTTTCTTATTTATCATTGATTGCTGTAAATTGCTTTAAATTTAAAATAATTTTAAACGATTTTGAACTTTAAATTTTAAAAATTGCTTGCAAAAATAAAGTTACCGAATGTTTTTCTTTTTTCTGTAAAACTTTTTATAAAAATATATAAATTTATAAAAATATAAATTTTCGAAGATAATCAATTAAAATATGTATGCAAATTATCTGGTCAATAAGGTTTTTCGTGTAGGATATATAGCAAACATAATCATTTTATAGAATTTTGCATATTTTAGTTCACCATAATTTGCATTGTTTATGGGGATTCATCGGCGAACCCAGTGGGCATTTAAAAAGCTCAGCAAAGTTCGGTTGGTTGCTGAGAACTACATTAACGCGATACGCAGAAGGAACATGAGGATCTGTTAAAACTTGATGGATAAGCGCTTCAGGCTTACTATGACCGCACCAATTCTGAAAATTTCATGAAGAGATTCATGAAAAGATAATGATTCGAATAAATTAATACTCTGAAAAAAACTCTGCAAAAATTAATGAACTCTGGCGTAGCTGATAAAGAACATTTGGTCAGCAGAATATTGTTCGAGGCCAGGCAATCGTTTTTCTTCATGGCCTAAGCGTGATATATACTTTCGATATGCCTTAAAATAAAATTTCTTTTAAAAAAATATTTAATTTTTCACGTATAGCGAATTAAATTATGGCGAAAAATCCACAGAAATTTTTTTTCAACCTTGAACTTATTGAACACCGGTGTCGATAGCCCGAATACAAATGATTTTAGAGCAATTCATTTTCAGTAAGTATCAAATTGGCAAAATATTAAATATTAAGAAATCGTCACTTTTCTATGCGAGAAAGAAACAAACCCTGTAAGCGCCACGAAAGCCTGCATTATCAGCAGCATTTTCTCCTTGAGTTAAGATGCCATTAATATTATGCTTAATTCCAGGGACTTCAATCGCACTGTATTGTTTGATAAAACATTCCATATGTTTATCAAATCGCTCTTTTGTAACATTGTCCCACCAATGATGAAGATTACCATTTAGGTCAAACTGGCTTCCTGAATAATGGAGGATATATTTACCGAAACGAAGGATGCATAATTAGAGTTACAAGAATTAAGTAAGACTCTATTTAGCTTTCACTCATTTTCACTCTATTTCGCTCTATTTAGCTTTTTTGAACTATATTAATTGTAATGGGCTGTACCCATAATGTTAATGCCATTAGTGCTAACGGATTGAAGCTACGGAGATTTATCTGCAAAGTCCTTCCCAACAGCTTCATAAAAATATTTTTGTCTCATCCGTCTCCAATTTTAAAAATTTGGTAGCATTAATATTCATTGAAATTTCTCCAGTTCTTCTCCACAGCTGTTATTATAATTTTATTCTGCGTTTATTTGGTTTTCTCTTACTGTACTATTATTCTTGTTGTTAATACCAGCACAGAGGTCCTTTCAAGCTTTTCCGTATGGTTCCACTGCCTTACTTATCTTCTCTTTGTTTTGCTTTCATTATATCTTATAACAAATTTTGCTATCCTTTATTTTTTTCTTAAATAAGATATTGGATATTTCACCTTGATCATCAAATCCATGAATTATTTCGTGTCCGATTATTGAGCCCATTCCTCCATAATTGACAAAACTAAAAAATGATATCGTTTAAGAAATTTCTTGAATTTTTTATCCGATAATTTTTCTAAATGGTGAAATTAAGGCAATAATTATTATATTATTATATTTGCAAAGACTTTTGCTTCTAAGAAATTCTTCTAAATGAATTTAAACAAATCAAGTGAAATATGTAGCCAAGCAATAAAAAAAAACTTATAGTCGATATGTGCTAGATTAAATTGATAAACACAAATAATCTGATAAATAATCTGAAATAACAAAAACGTTAAATTATTGCAATGTCCTATCTATCTAAATTAATTCTGCAATCGGGTATCCTACCATTAAGCCATTATGTTGCACTAAACAATTTAAACAGTTTCATATAATACTTAAAAGTATGTAACAATGGCGTATAGACCACTTCATAAAAAACTTATTCAAGAAGTTAAAGTAGAATGAAGAATTTTTAATTTCTCAAATTAATTCTGCAAACGGGTATAGCTAGCTTCATTCCGTTAGATCTAGTTGCATTTGAATTTAGGCTAAGGCTAATTGGTACAACCTAGCAACCTAACCATATAAAATTTTGTCCGCTAATATCAAATCGGTCTCAATTCTCAATCTTTATGAGTATCTAAATTTACAGCATAGTTTCAGTTTTTCCTTATAGCTATTAATTAAAGTTGAATAAACGGATCAGATCTACCAAGTACTTTGTAGTTCTTCAATGAATTTATTCGATTTGCGGCGTTGGTGAATAAAAAACAGGCTATGCTGTATTCTAACAAAAGCAGAAATAAATGCTTTGCTTTTCAATTTCATACATTTCGTATATTTCAGTATGGAATGTTTCCCTTCTAATTTTAAATAATAGAAACGAAACGTAAAATTAATTATATTTTGAATTGAAATATCGTCAATATAGGAAATTGGATTAAGAAAAATAGATGGAAAGTCGAATTTTTTTGAATTGCATTTTTGGATGAAAAGAATAATTTACCGCGAGCGATTTTGCATTAGTTTTACAATAGATTTCGCAATAATCAACATAGGTAGATGGAGTTTAACATAACTTTCATGATAAGGACCAAATCGCCTTTAAAGCACTCTTAAATTGACCAGTTCCAAGTCGAAAAAAGAAATGCGTAAAACTTGGAACCTATAGTTGTGGTAATTTGCCACTTATGCAGATCCACTTTCATTTATATAAATAAATTATATAAATAATTATATAAATTTCCCGTGATGGGGATGGAATAGCTCAGTGGGTGGTTGCTTAATTTGGGGCGCCGATGCTGAGGTTCTATTTTCCTCAGAAGTAAACCTGTCCAAAAATATGGGTGATGCTCACCTGTACGTCTATCGCCAAGGGTTCCCTGGCATATTTGTCCAATGTGACAGGCTATAGGAGCAAGCTTAACCAGTAATGGCGAGAATTCTTTTAAAAAAATTTCCCATGATAAAAATTGAGGTTATCAACTTATTACACGAATGCTTATTAAATGCTTTACCCAGTCTAGATAGGCAAACCATTACCATTTTATTACGGTTAAAGGCCATTAATCATAAAGTTTAGCTATTAGTTGTGAAATAAAATAGAAATAGAGGATTTTTTTGCTTAGAAACGATTTTAGATGATATTAGATGTTATCAGATTATCAGTCTCAAGATAGATATAAATTATTAAAAAAAAAATCTCTCTGGTGCCCTACCATTGAAATAGTCTAAATTTATGAAAGATTATATTATACTTATTCCTCTTTATTCCTCTTTCAAATTTTTGGATTAATTTCAGTTTTTTTGAAAAATCCTTATTAACAACAAAGAATTTTAATAATACATCTAAAGAGGAAGGACATCTACCATTCATATTATCATTCTAGAAAAGTACTTATTAGATAACATTTTTAAAATCGCTTGCGATCACATTATCACTTTGCCTTAACATAAGTCGCTTGATTCAGAGAATTTACTTTTAATGCAGCGCCAAAATGAAATTTTATCAGAAAACTTTCCTCTCTTCGTTATTTCGAAAAAATTTCATAGACATTTTCGAAAATATTTCAGATGTTCTTAATATATAATATAACTAACTCATTACTATCTTTTTTAAAGGGCTTTAATACTATGTTTTATGTATTTTTTAAAATAAAAATATATATTTTTCTACGAAATTTACTATAGCGCTAATGCCTATCGAGCGAATCCATAAAAGAAAGTATACAATCCCATTCTATTTTTGAAATATATAAGTCAATAAAACATAAGATAAAATATAAAAGTTCTTTTTCAGATACAGTTTAGTCGACCTAAATTTATCGCCAGCATGCGGACTCATGATTTTAATATCTTTCGGAAAATATTGTTATATATAAATATTGTTGCTTATGATTTTAAAAAACTGCGGAAAAAATCGACTTACTTCGGGAAATCTGGATCAAAAAAGGGTGGCTGAATAATGGCCGCTGGGAAAGCTAAAAAAATTAAAGTTTAAGCTTTCAAGCTTTCGCTGCATATTCAGTCTATTTCAGTTAACCAAGCATTCGGCTAGATGATTTTTCCTAGAATCCATTTTTTTACATTTTTGTTATACTATTGTATTGTTTGCACAAATATTCAGATAAAGGAAAAGATACTGATTGTATTTGCAGTTTGCGTATAAAATGCATTGACAACTGAAGAAGAAATTACGAATTCCGCTCTATCCGTAGGCTCCAACAATTTTCGAAAATTCTTGTCTTGTGTCCATTGTAATATTTTCCCATTCATTGTTATATAAGAATCATTTGCATAAATGTTCAACTAAAAATTTGAAATTAATGGGTCAAACTGAATCGATATATTAGTTTTCTGACATATTTTTGTAAAAACAATGAAAATTGAAAAATTCCAACTTCGCTATAAAATTTATCGAGTTCAGCATCATTATAGATGAACTCGGGATAACCAATTAGGCTAAGCATTTGTTTCGATTTCTCTAATGCAGTTTTTTTTGTCTGATAATCCATCCAATCATTCTCTGCTAAAAATTCGTGAAACACTTCTTGTAATCTTTCAATCATCGCTAAAACAGCTTTCTTCGTATCCTGCAACATTATCATCATAAGTCCAAGGAAAATAAAGCTATTATTAAGATGCATTAAAACGAATAATGTAGAATGCTTTTGCTGAATCGAAAAAGCAGCAGTTCAAAATCTATTTGAAGAATTATCATATCATACTGAAGCAGTACCAACTTTGCTAAATCTATTTCTCACATAAATCGCTCCAGTCGAATGAATGAGTTTCGAAGTTACAAAGTTGACACATGCTTTCCAACGAGGGGATTTAGTCTTTTTACCAATGAAATCCCTCAAAAAAACCTGAAAAATACTTTTTTTTGATATGGAATGAGTCATGTCGAGGTGAACATATTATTTGGACTGAAGAGTATGCAACATGGTTTCAATTTCTACTTATCGGCAAAGTACAAATATATTATTGAAAATGAAACTTAGATGGCTGATTCAGCTTAACCGGAATATATTGGGATAATTCTCTATCATATTTTCTCATCTAAGCAATTAATAAAGCCAACCAAACCAAAAACTATGTTAGAAATGAGAATTGAAAATCTTATGGATACTTTCATAAATGGAAAATTTTGTGGCCTACATCATACAAATTACAGTCAAATCTTTTGTTAGAATTTACTTATTAGAATCTGTAGAATTTGTTTATAATCGATAATGATGAGAAAAATAAGAAGCAAAACAAAAAAAATAAGGGAACCTGGCGAACATCATCATAAGCATCGCCTAGCTGAAAGCTGAAAGAAGAAACAAATCGCCAAATTGCATAATTAGTGATAATACGGTTATCAGTCGCCTTAAATAAAATGTACAAAGCTCAATTGACAAGAATAAGCGAATACTGAACAGAAAGCAAAAAATACCTATGTAGACGATATAGACGAAATTTATCCTTAACAAAATCGTAAAAAAATGAAATTACATGCACTCTAACTATAAAATCTTTTCTGTTTCATATTATTTATTCACGAATTTCTATTCATTTTTTGATATCTTTTCATACTACCTTACCTTCAGAAGAGAATTTATGTTTTTTAAGAAGTCTGGCTCAGTGATTATGATGTCTGGATCATTTTCAATGTAAGATTTCATCTCTTGTGGAACAATCTCTTCTAAAAACCGCACATAATCGATCTAAATGTAAAATTTTTTTAAAATAAAGATTGAAATTTTAATAAATTATTTTTTATTTTGATATATTTTAATAAATTTAATAAATTATATCCTTTTGTTAAATGGAAAATAATTTTTTTAATAGCCCATTTGCAAACAAATTGACTTCAGTGGTTCTCAACATGGGCGACAGAATTTTTTTAAGGGTAAAAAATTTAGAAAAATGGAAGCCACATGAACTATCAAGGTGCTGACAAATTAAAAACTGCAATTTAGAATAGAATAGAAAAATTTATTTTGTTTTGAAAAAATTAGTTCGAAATAACACATAAAAGTAATTGAAAATCCTGTAACAATGAGTACTGTCGGCTTTGCCACAAATTGTTTAGAAAAATTTTGATTTATGATCCAATATTTAAATGGATTAAAAAATATTGCACTGATTACACACCGTAAGTACACTATATCCCTTGCACGAAAGTTTTTAGTACATCAGCATAGTTAAAAGGATTTATTATTTATTTTGCTGGACTGATAGTGAGAAGGACAATTTTGCCTGTTGCATCTCTATAAGACCAAATTCTATTAATAAAAATCTTCATTCTCAAGGCTGCTTCATTCTTTTTAACCGTTTAATATTTTTTAAATCTTATTAACTGCCATTTTTACATTAACAAATTTATGTATTTTTGAAATGTAGAGATTTAATGAAATAAACTTTTGTTGCTTCACCCAAAAGCGGAAAGGAAGAAAAAAAGTTGTGGAAAAAAGATATCCTGGTATGAAATAGAAATAGCTTGTAATGTGGAAGAATAACCAGTTTAAGGACTACGAGTACGAGTTAAGCAGCACTTCTTGGAATTTGGCGAATCAAATTTGATGAACAATGAAGCCATATAATTAAGTTAAGCTTCAAAACTTTGTAAGGCACAACAAGTATTTTAAGAGATATGGAGTGAAAAAATATTTCCTTAAAAAATACACCTTGTGCTAAAAATGAAGCTTCGACGCGAGATAATAAGATAGGAGGCGATAAAGCGTTTTTACGATTTTTTAAAAATATGTATCGACTCTATTTGTACTTCACTGCGTTACCCATGCATCGAACATTTTATAACAAAGAAGTTAGCGACGATTGTTATGAAACAGTTAATTATATTAAATATAAAGCTCCTCAAAATCGTCTTTTTCTGAAAAAAAAAGAAAAATTTGGATAAAGAAAAATTTGCCTACATATGGATCCAGAGATCTGGCTGGCTATAATTGGGGATTTGTCTTTAATGTTTTTCTGGAAAGAATTAATGTTTTTCTGGAAAGAAAAGAGCACAAATGCAGAAATGCGTTTTTCCGGTTGACGAAATCTTTATGGAGTCATCGTGAAATCACTACAAAAACGAAAGTTCGCATCTAGCCGTGATCCGTTCGATTTTGCTATATGGTTCTGAGACATGGCCAATAAGAGTGGAGGATATTAAAAAGTTATTTGCTTTTGACCACTCTTGTCTAAGTTACATATTACGGATCCGTCGAGCATGATCGCATGATTGCATCCACCTTCGTTCAAATACCACTTGCATAAATAATGTTATAAACTGTCGCCTTCGCTGGTTAGGGCACGTTTTCTCCGTCATCCACCACAGGAGCTGACGCTTATTTCGTTATTTGTTAAAATTTATGATGGTTGGCGAGTAGGGCCAGTCAAGACCTGGATTGATACAGGAAAGATTTTGAACGTATAGGTAGACCAGCAATATATGGACTTAGACGATGGAAAAAGGGATGGCTTCTATTACTGTCGACGATGGCATCAGACCGCACAGAATCGTCTTCGTCTTGTAGCCGTTGGAGCCAGCCTAACCAGTAATTGTGAGAAAAGAAGAATTTTCAAAGAAAATTTAATTTATACTCTTTCTTTACTTGGTTAACTTGTTGAACAAATCATCATGTGGATAAAATGGACAAATTTAATTTCAATTAAATATGTAATTATAGCGTTCATGGTAGAAATGAAGCTTATCTTGGATAATATTGGACGTCGTGAATTTATTCTATTCCATTCTCTACAGGATCATTATTGCCATTAGCAGGACGAGAGCCTTAAAGTTTCATTGATACTAATCATTTAAAAAATTTATATAACGAAATGCTCACAGATACACTAAAAATGAATATCCCAGATTAAATGGTGGTTCAATTTGGCGAACAATATAACTCCAAAAATATCATATGAGTCTGCGTGAACTTCAAGCAGAATTCAGAAATATTTTTCAGGAATAATTTTTGAGCTTTTCCTTAGCACAAGAAATTTTTTCATATGCTTTCCAAATTCTTCATTCCGTTTATCTGGATGATATCCGGATTTATCTGGATGAATCCGTTTTCAATAGAGTCGATCATCTGATACAAAAAGCTCGAAACTGGATACGAAAAAAAAGAGAATATTTTTGTTTATATTTATTTTTCTTTATATTTGTTTATATTTAAAGAATTTTCAGTCAAATTTATCAATTCATAAAATCTTGTAAAAAATCTTGCATTTTGTGAAATATTTTTTTTGTAAAATATGCGCAATTTTCCCTTATTTTAAAATACCGTTTTATCGCTTCAAGAGCGATGACTTTTTATTTCAAATGGAACAATTTTTCTCAGGAAGAAACTCGAAAATATTTTAATTCGAAAATATTTTTGTCATAATTTATTTGTCCTATGCCCAATAAATATAAGTCCTCAACCCAGCACCCTTCGCTGAAAACAATTTTTGAATCACAGGAAGCCATGGGACAAAAAAGTTAAGAACCACTGTCAAACATGATCGAAATATTTACAAATTTGAAAGTTTAAGAGTTTAAAGAAATTCATGTTGCCATCTGCAAACCTGATCAACAAATGAGCGAAACTGTGACAATTTATATCGATTGTACATTCTCGAGAAGTTTCGCCTAAGATCTTGTGGGACAATTATCTAAAAGGATTTTTTTCACTGAGGAATGAATTTTTCACCTATTTCTCAAGACTTTTTGTGTGAGAAATTCCGACTGAAATTGCAAGAAATAACCTTAGCTATTTGTTTTTCGAATTTAATCATTTCGTCAATATCTGAACTAATGTCTGAGGCAGTTGTAGTAAAATCTGCATCTTTCGCCAACAATAAAATCTGAATATTTGCGTAATTTTTTTCAAATACATATGAAATGGCTATTTTTAAAATTTTTTTCGCAACAAATTTTCTTTTTTCAAAGAGTTTGTGAAATGATTTTTTGAATGTTAATTTTTTTTCTAAAGCACCATCATTTTTAATCTCTCCATTTAATATTAAAATGAAACTTCTTCATTTACAATCGAAAAAACAAATAGCTCTTCGAATGAAAGTAAATTCATTGATATGAAGTGCAGTTATTTAGCAATTTAATGGTACAACCTGTTGCTGTTTTATTATTGTTTATACCCATAACAAGCCTTTTTTTAAATTAAAGAAGAGAAGATATTCGCTGACCACATTCATCATGAATTTTTTATATGCAGAAAGCTGTTTGGCGTATTTTACATCATCAATAAAATAATCTCGAGATAAACTTCCAAGACCAAGTCCTTCTTGATCAATCTGAATATTTATTTATTTTTTATTTTTTTGTATTCAAAGGCACTTTACATTTTTACTTTATTTTCTGATCTAAATCCATTTAATATATATAGAAATAGAGCTATAGCGACTAAATAATGGAACATACATGAAGTAGCCTCTCAGAAACATTCTTTTGATTATGCCAGGAAAAAACATTAAGGAAAACATATTGGCTTCTAGACTTTGCCATCTTGATTAAAAGACTAGTTAAATCGAAGCATTCCGGTTTCCATAAATCTTTATGCATAATTGGCCAATAACCCATTTCCTCAAATCATTTGCAATACTATTTTAAGATTTTACAAATTTGATATAAATTTCCAAGTAAGTAGAGAAAAAAGTTTTTTGATTTTTCAAAGTACCTGTATAAGTTTAATAACTTCCTTTCCACGTCTTAAATTTATCTGATGCATATCCACGCATGATTTATAAACCCTGCGAACTGTAGCAATTGCTTTAGAATTTGTAGTTTCATTCATTTCTAATAATTCTGCAAATAATAACATTCTTGGAATTCCTAAGAACAATTCTATTAAAATTATTATTACTATAGTCATAAGATGGTGCTATAAAAATTGGTGGCACTAAAGAAGGAGATAACTGTGCGATTTTCGTATTATCATTTAAAATTATCATTTTAAGCACTAGAGTTTGCACCCAGATAAGATTAAACTTGCCATTAAAAAGTCCCACGTACTTCTACCCACAAATGATTCCAAAAATTTCTCGTCGTGCACTATCAAACATTAGGAAAATATCAGAAACAGTGGGTCCTGACCCACTCAGTTCCTTGTTTAAGGCTGAAATCGTAGAAATTAATCGATGATTAACTCGCAAAAAACACCTTTCATTTCACTACTAACTCGTTCACGAATTAGCGTCAAAATCCCATAATGAACCATATCATCAGGTATAGGATTATGTTCAATCCATTTGCCGCAGGCGAATTTGAAAAAATCAACACACGGATCGAACTTTTCGTCTATGCTGCCCAATATTAAATTTGAAGCTTTCACATATCCTGATGAAATGCCAACGTCGATTTCATCAGAAAGTGATGGACTGTTCCAGTCTATAAGAAAATCTTGGAATTTGAAATCGCATAATTATCAAAACAACGATCTAAAAAAATCTCAACATGGTTCCTATAATATATACCTGCATTGGGAACAGAAATAATGCCCAAAATTTGTTCGGTTTGCATAAATTTGTCATTAATAATCAATATGGCCAATATCAGCCAAAGACGAGTAGAATAATCGATCATCGTTGCTCTCATATTATTTACCTAGAATTTTTCTCAATTTTGCAACAAAATTAAGCCAAGAATTCAATTTGTTTCATGCAGTTGGAATAACTTTTGCTAAATTATTAAACATGATTTAAAAACTATGAAATAAATAATTATGGATGATATCTATAGAGAATAAATTATTATATATTAAATGGTTTACAAATTAAGGCAAATTAAGGTAAAAAAAAATAAAACATATATTTCAGTATATATATATATCAAATATATGCAAAAAAATATGAAATTCAATTTCTTAAAAAATAATGATATTTTTTGAAAAACATGCATTCTTTTATTGCATATATGCAATTTATGATGAAACGCACTGATAAAAAATAGTTGTTTTCGTAAAATCCTTTTTTTGACGAATAGAGAAATTTTTATTGATAAAGTTTTTTTTTTTATTTGTAAAGTTATATTTTTTAAAAAATTTAATTATATTTTATTATGTTTAAAAAAAATAAAAAATAAATGCTTTAAAAAAAGAAGACAAGAGATAAAAAAAGGCAAAAAAAACACTAATGTTTGGCAAAATTCGTCTCAAAAACTTCAACCATTTTCTAGTTCCTTTTATTTCAGCTTATTTCTTCAGTTAATGAATATCTTGAAGTGGTAAGGAAATCAAACAAACAGTGAAGGTGACAAGCTTAATATTGCTATATTTTATAAAAATATGATATTATTAATAGTATTAAGATTAAGATTAATACTGTGGTTAATTAAGTAAATTTCTTCTAATGGTGCTTTCTTTCTGGATTAACTGAGGCGATTAACAGTGAAACGTTTTTGTCTGAAAGGCACTTGAGAATAAAGTATAACTTCTTCAAACAGATCACTATTAATGGTCAGGCTGGCTCCACTGGCTATAAGGGTAAGACTGGTTCCCAAGCTACGCGATGTGATGCCATCGTCGACAGTGAAGCCACTCTTTTTTTCCTTTAAGTCCATATATTGCTGGTCCACCTATACGTTCAAAATCTTTCAAAATCTTTCCTAACCGTGTCAGTTCAGGTCTTGATTGGTCCACCTCGCTTTTGATACTACCCATCACATGGCTCAGCAAATGTCAAAATGTATCAACTTTGTCTGTGGTCAACGAAGAACATGCCCTAACGAAGACGATGCTCTGTGATAGTACTGTTAATATGGGATTTGAACGAAAGTAGATGCGATCATATGAGATTTTATCCACTATGCAAACCGTAAAATCTACCTTAGACATGAGTGGTTAAAGGAAGATATCCTCCACTTCTCTTAATATCTCCCACTCTCATTGGCCATGTCTCGCAGCCACATAACAAGATCGAACGAATCATGGCTATTTAGACAGATTTTTTATAGTTATCTCGCGATGGCTCCATAAAGCTTTCGTCAATGGAAAAAACATTTCTATTTGCCTTTATCAGGGATGTAATTTCATCTTTTGCCCAACCATTCGGTATTAGAGTGGGTCCATGATATTTAAAAATCAAGCATTTCCTCAATCGGCAATGAATCTATAAAAAGAGGCATTTTATTAGCTTCTTTCACATAAGACAAAAAGACTTTCGTATTCAGCAAAAAGGATTACATCATCAGCGTATTCAAAATCTACGATACGATGCTCCAGGCTGGTGTCCATTATCCAGTTTATCGCATATTTGAATATTGCATAAGAAAGGATGCAGCTTTAAGGAGAGTATAACCCCACAAAGATTTTCGTTTTTAATATTACTAACTAGATATAAGGACTGAAAAAAAATTCGTGATGTTCCTTTAGCAAAGCGAGATATACCATGCAACACTCCACCATCCACAATGAATATTCATATACATTCTACAAAACTTATTGTATGAGGAATTTATTGTGCTTGAGAATTTATAAATTTTGACGCAAGTTATTTGCTATGGTTATTTCTGTAAACCGAATTAAAATCTGCAAGATCCATGTATTTATTCCACGGATTATTTAATGATGGGGCACAACAAATTTTTTTTGGTAAATTGAGAATTGATTGATTCCAATGAATCAGATGGACAGAAATGATACAAGAATAATATCACTCTTAAAAAAAATTTTAAAATCAATTCTCTTAGAACTATTAAACTATTGTTAATGATGGAAGAAATTTAATTCTTCTTTAAAAAATTATATTTTATTAATAATGCATTTCATAAAAGAAGAATTAGAATCATACAATTTGATAAAACTTTTGAACACTATTTATTTATAAATTCTTACCAACGAGCGTGATAACAAAGTGGTATGTTTTTAAGGCATTAGTCTAGAACACAACGGTTCGATTACCGGTTCGATTGCATAGTGGGAATAAAATTCGTTTTTACTCTTGTAATTCAAATATTGCTGGAAAATTATAAATCTATTTTCAAGCAAATCTTCGATGAAAAGGTCATTTTAGTGAGGCTGGCCAGATTAAAGGAAGCAGAAGAATTTTTAATAGAATTCAATTCGAACTATTATTCGCCAAAAAAACTATTATGAATATTGGCACATGAAAATGCTCAACTATTCGAAAACATATACGGCTTTATCAGCATGATATTCTTTTAGCAATTAAATTTCAACTAGAAAGTCGGAAAACAACAAAAAAAATTGCTTATCTCTGTGATAAGTTACCAACCTGACAAGGTCAGTTTCGTTTCACTATGAATGAAATTCAAAAACTCACTCCCAAAACCAAAACCAACGATCAACCATTAAATTTCCAAAACTTTTCGATTCATATTTATGATATTTTCGCGATAAGATTATTGATCAAATTTTAATGAAAAGAAATTTGGACTATTCTTTGCTTCCTCACCAGACCGAATTTTATTTCTGTATAAGAATCAAAAGCTCAGCAGAGATTTGTGTGAAGAAAAAAATTAAAAAACTATTTGAAAAAAAAAAAACTAACTGATTAACTGAATGTGTAAAAAAACGAATCATTTTTATCACTCTTCTTCCAAAGGTATTAGCCCTTGCTTATGGGCGGCAACATTAAGATTTTATTTTTTAGCAGATCAAGAAGTATAGATATCCATATAACTATATTAATAAAATCTTATGCATGCGGTAATATTACTTAAGGAAAATATATGATAATTCTGAAAACAAAGTTTAGCAAAATTTTTAATTTTTGCCTTTTGCCTTCAGTTAGTTTTTCGTCCTCTATATTTTAAAATTTTGTTTAACTTAATCCTAATTAAGATCTTAAATAAATAAAGTAAAATAAAAAAATTAGTAAGACAAATTCGTCACTGCCCATAACATTATTAGATGAAAAAAAAGCTGAAAGGCAGTAGTAGCTAAAAGAACATCATATAAAATATAAAAGTATTTGTTTCTAGATTTTTCTCCTCTTGCAATAAAAAATTCCATCTAAAGCAATAAAAAAACTTCCAACAATATTAAATTTCTAATAGAAATTGTTTGTTGACTAGGCCTCCTTACTCGAGATCAAGTGAAGTGGCCAAAATAGAAGTAAACCTATCATTAAAAAGTCTGTATGATACTGGTAAGTAAATTTCTATCCTCAGATGAATCGCTAGCAAGAATTTCTAACTATATTAACCAATTTAATTAGTATTACCAAAAATGGTGAACTTTAGCCATGTCATTTACCTTTTTTTAACTTCCCGTATTGTAAACATGTTTCGTTAGGAGAACGATAAAGATCTGTGAAATGTTCAAGTCTAATATGCCAAAAAAATAGAGGGAAAATGAGACGAATAATGGATGAATCTGCAAATAAGCTTTAAGAAAATGGAGCACGAGTTATATAAGTTAATTAAGTAAGCTTCATGGAGATCTTTGTGCATATGCTTAATAGATGGCACTTATTGATGCAAAATTCAAAAATCAGTTCGATTACAATCAAAATGATTGTAACGACAATGAGAATTTCAACTGCCATGCCTGTTTGAAAGGCAATGCTTTTTTGCTGCTTCTGGTAAGAATAAAATAAACATATCATCGGAAAACTCAAGTAATACTTGAGACCCATTTGTATCGCAAGATGATTCGACAGAAAAATTTCTAATTACGTTATCAACAGTGGAAGTAGAGAAATAAGAATAATGAGCGCTAACCACTAATTTTTTTTTATTACACGCAGTGATATTCGAACCATGAAATTATCATCATTTTAGTTTATAATCTTATTGCCAACGATTTTATTGATGCAAATTTTTTTTTTTACAATATTTGGCAGACCAACTTTCACCAAACTCAAATCTCAATTTTAAGTTTTTAAATTTTATTTAACAGGGAGAAATGAAATAAGAAAGCGATAAGAGACCTTTGAAATTGCAAATTTTACAATGAAAAAATATGTGAAAATCTATAAGCTATAATCAAGTTAAAATTGCACCAAATTTTTTCAACAATGAAAAAATGTTTAAAGAAAATTAATTAGATTTTTTAGAAAATTCTAAGTGTGAAATAAAGATTAATTAAATGCAAAATAGAAAAAAGCAATTTTATCCTTGAATTTTGCGGATTCGAAGCGGTTTTCCATTTAATCTGTTTTTCTTTTCCTGATAGCATTCACCATTTGCGACTTGACTTGCTTCATAAGTTTGTCGGACCGTATAAATTTTACTAGGACACTTGGCAATAGAAGTGTAGTGTCGCAACCTGGATTTTTAAAAGACAAATCTTATAAAGAAAAGCTCAGCATCATAATTGATCTGACCACTATCCTTCTGTCTTTCACTTTGATTTATTCTAATCATATTCATACCTTTTCATAGATCCTGGAGTATTGTAACATGGAGTATTGCCAAGGCTATCATTTTCAACACCATAATTTAGCTTCTATAAGAATAAATCTGTCATTTAAAAGTCTGAATAATGCAGGATATCCACTAGTACTTTTGCCTTGCAGTCACGACTTATTCAAGTGATGTTCTGGCAAGATAGTCTCATCATACTAATAGCAAATAGACCAGGGCAGGTTAAACCAGAAATAACGAGTGCAAATGATTTATTCCCTTAATATATTTAATCTTGCTGTGAATGTATTGTTTGTACATTATTATGTTAATTAATTAATATTATATTGATAGTGCAATAATATGAAATATTGCAAAAATTAAGCTTCTCCTTTTTTATCTTATAATTTTTGTGCTTTCTTACTGTTTTCATTCATAGATTCATTTATAGCAATAAAGCCAAATTTCTTTTTCTATTGTTCTCATTTGTTTTTTGTTTTATAGCATTCAGTGCCTTATAAATTATATCCAGAAATGATCAAATTTACTTAATTTAGTGGAAAAAATTGGAGAAAAAAGGAGTAAGGAGTGAG